GAAAAAAGAGGGGTAGGGTGTCTCCTATAACTACTGGTACCGGGCGAACGGCGCCTGGTCATGCGTCGGTTCGGCCGGGGAACGCCCAAACCGGGCGTTCGATTTAAATTTTTTTTTTTTTTTTTTTTTTTTTTGATTTAAAAGAAATATTTTTTTTCTGAATTAAAATAAGTTAGTAAATTTAATATAATTTTATGTTTACAGGATGTCTAATTGGGCGAAAAAATTCGGACTCGGAAAAGGGAAAGGACCCCTGATTCGTCCACCTGCAGATCCGGTGGTGGAGACTACTGCGGAACGGGAGGGAAGGACACATAATAGAAATGTGACTAGTTCTAAACGTCGTGGGGAATGCACTGGTGCTTTTGTACCCCCACGTACGATGATTCAGGAGGAGACAGAGACAGAGGCCGAGCAGGAGATGGATGCACCCATGGATGCATATATGCAGCCGCAGGAGTACGAGTACGATCCACAACTACGCTTTCAGCAGAAGTATCAGTTTCCGGTGCCGGATTTTCCATCCGATGACGATTACGAGGATGTTCCGACTCCGACTCCGCCTCCTGTCCCGATGGGTGGTACTTTCGGTGGTTCTAATCCTGCCTCGAGGTCCCGCACCGCTCCGAGAAAAAAACTTCCTTCTCGACCTTGGATGTTGACCGGTGAGACACCCGGTGGACCTAAATACGCTCACTTGATTCCAAGTTTTGGAGCACATATTGCCTACGACATTTGGGAGGGAAAGGTAATACTTATTAATATTAATAAATTTTGTTTATAATATTTACACTTGTTTGTGGTATACTTATATATGAATATATCTTGAACAGGGACGACATATGGTTAAATTACGGTCGCACGCGAAGTGTACTTGGCCGGGCCCCGACGACGATGATTGTGTCTCAGTACTTGAGAGTACCGGCTTGTATCACTTGCGTGATTGTTCGCTGCCTCAGCACAATAACCCATTAATTATGCCGTATTATTATTTCCCGTATTGTAGTGTTGGATATATGAGTATTTTCCGTGTTTCCGGCCTCCGATGGTTAACGCACATGTTACGGGAGAGCCGTGGTGTAAACGGTGGCAGGTGATACATCATATTCCTAAGGACGAGGATATACTTGTAGATTATCGTAGACGTCTCGATTCGATGCGTCCGTCAGATGTAAGTATCTATGTGTATTATATAATCGTAGACGTCTCGATTCGATACATCATTTTATATTAATTATGCTTATTAATATATGTGTATTATTAAATGAATGTAGGTGAATTGGACGCCATTTGGATTGGAAGTGGCATCTGAAGTTGGAAAGACGGTTCATCACGGGACTATTCGATGGATGGATACCGTTGAGCCTTATATGCCCGATAGAGTTTTGCGTCAGTTCGGGTTTCGGCAGATTAAACCGGCGGACCCAATTCGTCCGCTAAAAGGTGCTAAGAGGGAGAGAAAAATAGCATCTTACAAGGTTAACTATGAGCCCGGCGATCAGATGTGGAGTATCCCCCACACGCACATGCTTAGTCGAGATTACTATGGTCGGAAGGCGCGTCCAGCTTGGGAGTCGGATCCGGAGTATTTGCCGTGGTATCTAGACCACACCCACGTCCGTGTAGATCCTAGTACCGAGCCGGTTGAGAGAGCGGAGCCATCTGCAGTTCCGGCTATATATGACCTCACCCGAGTGTTGCATCCGTACTTCTACGATAACTTGCCTCCTTCTACTATTCCAGGATATCGGCGTATCCCCGATGACTTCTTCAGGACGATCCAGGACATGTGCGCCCCATTCGCTGAGTATCTTCAGTTGGACCGTGATGATGCCGATGGTCGGGATGCAGGACCCTCACAAGGGCGACATTCTCACCGCAGGCGTAGGACGAGGGATACTTAGGTGTTCAGGACCTGATTTTCGTTTTTTAAGCTAAATTTATGTTTAATAAAATATGTTGTAACCATAACCTGATTTCCGTTTATTAGTGTTCAGGACCTGATTTTCGTTTTTTAAGCTAAATTTATGTTTAATAAAATATGTTGTAACCATAACCTGATTTCCGTTTATTAGTGTTCAGGACCTGATTTTCGTTTTTTAATTATTATTATTATTATTATTATTAGGGTAATAATTATTATTATTATTATTATAACATCATAACATAATAATAATAATAACATACAATGTCAATAGTAACACATTCATTCCAACAAAATAAACAAAACTAAATCAAACACTATTAAGAATATCCCACATTTCACGTCGACTCCGCAACGCCTCTGGTAGATATGCAACACTATTGTTGCTATACCTCGCCCACTGTCTATCAAACGGAGGAAGCGGACAATTGTCATTCATCTTCACATACACAAAGTGGCTTCCTGATTCAAGAAATAGTATAGTCATCTCGTAAGATAACTGGTGAAACACCTTCGGGAGCCCAAAGTGGTAAATAAGTCTGATTGCCCAAGCTGCTAGCCGACAAGACCAACGCGTTGTAATATGTTGCCACAACCACGCCCACGTCCGTGATAGTCATCCACTTCTCATAGGGTGCTGGGGCGTTGTCCCAATAAGCGACACTCGCCAATACCCGATACACTAAATTACCACCACCGAAATAATCCTTGAAGAACTCTTCGTGTGTTTTAATACAGTTATAAACATCCATTCTAACATCCATCCAATCATCCTCGTGGTTCTTCACTGCACACGCGACGCTTCGATAACCACAATTACCATCCCCTTCAACGTCCGTCCACGTCACAACCTCCGGAACAAGGCAGAAATGAAGTTGTCGCATCCAAGGGGGTCGGGGAATTTGACCTATTGCGGGTCCACTCACGGTCGATGAACGAGCGCGACCACGGCTAGATCTCTCAGAAGATGAACCACGCCCTCTGTTGCCTCGTGATCGTCCTCGTCCTCGTCCTCGCCCTCGTCCAGACTCTTCACCTTCTCCCGGAAATAATGGAAACTCATGCCCTGACCAATCCCTCTGTGTAGAGTTCGTCCGCGGTCTACCTCTCGGGCAGTCTAGTACTTGTGGCGCATTCATTTCCATGGCCCCGGGATGCATTCGTTCAAAAATGGCATCTGTCACGTCCGTGATCTCAATTTCTGACCGCTCACGCAAATCATTCATTAACCCTTCTAGCCTGCCAATAGCCTGTGACCTGTGGTCGGGAACAGAACCAACACTTTCATCTAGGGAATCCCCGAATCCCGAAATAAATGTCCTCCAAAAAATGTGGACATCCTCTGCATAAAACACACCACGTCGTGCATTCATCTTTGCACGAATTTCATGTCTGCATGGGAGTCCAAGACATTTCCTCATATAACAGACGCAACCGTCTATGTCTTCATCCTTCTCATCGTCCAACATCTGCAGAGCATTATGTGTTACAATTCCACTGGACAATATTTTAAATACGGGCACGTTGATCGTCTGGGCCCGAATCCTCTTTGATTTTGCAAAATCGGCTAGTATCTCGTTAAATTGATCTTTCATCATTGAGTGATACTGTGCCCAAAATGTGTCGAAGCCACCCGTGGACGATTCCAACCATCTCTTCAATGCTCTATGGTTGCTCTCCACCCTAATATGTTTAGAATATGCTATGTTTCAATAAACTACATGACAGTAAGTTAAGTATATGTATTTAACCACTTATAAATAAATACCTGCTTGTCGATGTATTACCCAAATGGAAAATTAGATCCGTCCATGCTTTTACAAATTTCTCTTTGTATACGAGCCAAGTGTATTGGAGATACTCAATCAAATCTGGATAATTCGCGTACTCGTCCGTCAAAGCTGTGTAATTCCTGGCGAAATCTTCTTCAGACACTGATTTTACCAAAGTTTGCCACACGCCAACTACAAAAGCCGTGCCGCGACGCCTACTATTGCCGAGACATCTTGAAGCACGACGCCCCACATTCATGTTAATGTGCCAAAGACATAAGAGATGAGGTACGGTCGGAAATACATTCTCTAGCGCCTTTATGAGCCCTAACTCTCGATCCGTCACGATGGCACTAGGTAGAGTCTGAGGGGGGAAAAGTCTCTTCAGCTTTTGCAACACCCATGTGTAATGGTCTTCATTTTCATGGCGCAAAAATGCGACTGCAACAGTAAAATTTTTCCCGACAGGAGTAACACCAACAATCTCCAACAAAGGCAATTTGTACTGATTTGTTTTGTAAGTACTGTCAAGTAGTAATACGTACGGAAACTTACTTAACAATTCCACAGATTGAGGGTGAGCCCACATCAAATCAGTAACTGCATGTGTAGTTTCATCAGTACGGAACCACTTGTAATAGTTATGCTCCTCAAGCAACCCAATCAAATGTTGCATCACTGTACGGTCACCCCTAGATAGTCTTTTCAATTTCGCCTTCTGATTGTATATTTGTTTTGAATAAGCATCGAGGCCCAAACCATTTTGTCTCAAGTTAGCCAAAATCTTCTTGGGCGGCACATGACTTTGTGACAGATCACTAATGATCTTCGCCTCCTCCTGAGACAATGCACTCATCCCATGCCCGGACTTGTATATCGGAACATGATTATGCTTCCCGTATATTACTCTGACCTCCCATTTATCATCCCATCGTAGCTCTCCGACAATATAAAAACCACAGCCTATCTTTTTGCTACCGGTCCTTCTCGGGCGCGCTTCTGGATTAGTTGATGGACATTCTCGTTTTTCCCCGAATAGGTCACAAGTCAAAAAAATCTTTTTTTTAGGACTGCTTCTTTTTACTATTTTCACAAAAAGACCTCTTGCAACGAACCTCACCCAAACCACTACCTCATCCTTTGAGTCAAACAACTGAGTAGTGGTAAAATAATCGGTATGATCAACTTCAAATGTAGTCGTATCGTCCTGAAAAAAACATAAAAAAATTGATTTAAAAAAAAAAAAAAAAAAAAAAGGTTTAAAATTCAAAAGCCCAAGTCGGGCGCCCGGCAGTGAGTGCCACGCCCATGTTGGGCGTACGACCCGTTCAATACCTAGAGAAATATCAATGCTGCACTGCCTCCTAAAGAAAACTGAAAGTTGTTTTTTTTTTTTTTTGTGTTTTTTT